AAACTAAAAGTGAAGTGTTTTGGTAAGTTTCGCTTTCAGTGTCAAACAGAAAAAAAAAGAAAAATGGGGGGAAATTTTAGCATTACACTCTGCTACACTACGGAAGTAAATTCTTACAAGTTTATACGGTAGAAACCTTAGACTACAATATATAGCTTTAGGACTTAGTACTAAATTAAATCCCTCGTGTGGGTCAAGGAAGCAGCTGAAATCCATACATTGTTAGACTTTTTTATGACTTATATAAGCAACGCTTCTTGTGTTATGTCTCTATCCACAGTTTTGATTTTCAGTTTATCTTACAGTGCCTGATTAAGTCACGACTGAAAGGAACCAAAACGTCTTCCCTTTTAAGGGCAGGACAAAATTCTCAACATACATTCACATTCTGACCTTGACACTGACTCCTTGAGGGGATTCATCCTCCATACGGATCTGTGACTGCATATCCCTGCAAGGAGAGACCTGTGGTGAAAATCACCGTACGACACAATATTGCTGCAACAATACTCTATGGAACTGCACACACTTCATATTAAACCTGGACTACTTGATTATGTGAGTTGAAAAAATGAAAAAAAAAAAAACCCAACAACAACAAAATATGAAGCTCAGAATTTTGGTTTTGCACTGAGCTATACACTAATCCCAGGAGACAGGGAAAGACCCCTGCTCTTCTGTATTCTTTCTCAAAAAAGGGATTTCTTGGACAAAATTTATTTTAAAAGTAGTAAAACTTACTCAGATTGTAAGAAGCCAAAAACAGAAAAGAACAGAAAAGTAAGAAGTTTTATTAAAGATCAAACTTTGAAATCTTTTTATTCTAATAAAAATAAATTTAGAAATTTGCTGACATTTTCCAAGACATTTATCTGAGCAAAGAAAAAGCATGTCGTAAAGAGTTCTCTATTTGCAGCTTAAGCCTTTAAATGTTCTTATTGCAGTTCTTTTCTGAAAACCAGTGACAGAAAAATCATTTGGGCTTTCTGGGTTTACTGAGAATTCTTCATATTCACTCCAGAATATTCAGAAAGGACTGCCAGGCCTGCAAAGTACTCAAGCAATTTCTGGCATGTGTATCATCAGTGGAAACAGATTTTCAGATCAGATGCTTTTTCCCAGATGAATATGTACAGCTCTGCTATCCTTAATTTATCTCCAAACACAAAGCCATGCAAATCCATTTTTAATAAGAGTGAGCAGATGAGTAAGCAGCGCTAAAGCTATTAAAATTTATTTTACTCAACAAGCAAGAAAGCAGCACACATCATTTTCGTGGAGATTCCTGATTCAGGCAAAGTCCTCATTCAGGCAATACTAAGAGTCTATTTATATTTAACTGAAAATTAAACGTCTGTAGTTTTCTGACTACAGACAGAATAACATCCAACAAACAAGAAAGTAGCATGTTACGTAGCTACTTCTCAGAGGATTGCATCACTTTAAAAGATGTATCCAGCATAGCTTAATGAACTTGCCATTAGTCATGCCTCTTGCATCAAATTCTGGGCCAAGGACCCAAAACACATCCAATATGGTTTAAATCTTTTTCAATGATTTAATAGATAAAAGAATTTTCTACAATTTAATAAATATGATTTATTCTCATGATTAAACAAAAGTTCTTTTCACTTAATGAAAAAAAAAACTGAACAATTGCTACAGCTCAGCCCTACTGAATGTGCAAATTAAGTTTATGCTCGAGTATAAAACACAAACTAGGTACACATAGTGCATTCCATACATCTAGAAGGAGACCTTAGTTGATAAATTTGACTCATTTTTAAGCCCAGCAGCCCCTGTCTAGGCTGATTTGGAATGAACCACAGAATGAATCACGGAATGGTTGAAGTTGGAAGGGACCTCTAGAGACCATCTAGTCTAAACCCCTGCTCCAGCAGGGACACCCAGAGCATGGGGCACAGGGTGGCATTCAGGCAGGTTTGGGAGATCTCCAGAGAAAGAGACTCCACAACCTCTCTGGGCAGCCTGTTCCAGGGCTCTGGCACCCTCTCAGGAAAGAAGTTCTTCCTCACATGGAGGTGGAACTTCCTGTGTTTCAACTTGCACCCGTTATCCCTCATCCTGCCACCAACCACCACTGAGAAGAGCCCCATCCTCCCTACAACCACCCCTCAGGTACTTGAAGATATTGATCAAATCTCGAACCCTCTCTAGAAGCTCCACGGCCTTCTTGTCCTGGGGAGCCCAGAACTGCACCCAATACTCCAGGTGCGGCCTCACCAGAGCTGAGGAGAAGGGCAGGATCCCCTCCCTCGACCTGCTGGCAACGCTCCTCCTGATGCAGCCAGGAGCCCATTGGCCTTCTTGGCCACAAGGGCACACTGCTGCCTCATGGTTAACTTGTTGTCAACCAGGACTCCCAAATCCCTCTCCGCGGAGCTGCTTTCCAGCAGGTCAATCCCTAATCTGTCCTGGTGCCTGGGGTTATTCCTGCACTTTTCCTCGTTGAAGCTCACGAGGTTCCTCTCTGCCCAACTCTCCATCCTGTCTAGGTCCCTTTGAATGGCAGCACAGCCCTCAGGAGTGTCGGGCCTGAATGAGCCTGAATCCAAGTCTTGTTCCTTCCAAGCATTTCAGGCTGCAGGATTCTTGCAGTTGCCACGTTTAGGCAACCAGTACCATTTAGGATTGCCTTAGGGATCCAAGACACCAGTGAGGCTAGCAGAAGCATCCAGGATCTACAGGGAATCCATGTCGTGCTTGGCATCAGCTAGGAACCACACAGCTCTACAGCTATCGAATAGAGCCCAAATCACAGAATGCCTGAAGTTGGAAGGGACCTCTAGAGATCATCTAGGGCAACCCCCCTGCTCCAGCAGAGACACCTAGAGCACATGGCACAGGTTTAGAACTTAATACATAGAGAGGAACTTCTTAAGTTGCTTGCAATTTGTTATTGTTTTATTTCCTTCAATTATAATTATTTAAAACTTTTGTCCACATCTGTCTAAAACTCATCCAGACTTGTCCAAAACTTTTCTTCTACACTTTTGAAACACAACATTTGCTATTTATCAAGTTCTAGCAGGTCAGTTCAGTTGCTTCTTTTTAAACTGAAGCACACAGTTTATCTTTAAATGCACTTATACTTGCTACTGCAAACCCAGGTATTTTAGGATGGCTCATTTCATTTGCCTAAGGAAAGAGTCTCCATTCCTCTACTTTCTCAAAGAGTCTGAATAAGAAACTTTCTGATGATTTTTTTTTCTCCCAAGTAAAAACACTAACGTGTCTTCACGGCTCAAAGGATGCAACACATTTTATCTCAAATATAACTAATTAAAAATTACCCTCCAGCTCCATTCTTCAGGCTGTTCTGCAAACAGAAGCACCTTATTTTTGAGGAGCCTTACAGAGGAGTACATGGAATGTATCAAATTACACAGGTTTATTAATTTACTCAAATTCATTTATTCTAATAAAAATACATACCGATTGCCACATGTCTGCATCTGCAAAGGTGTTGTTTTTAAAAACCAGTAATTGATTTACGAATACATATTCACTCTTGGATCCTGAAAACAAAGAAAAAAAATCGTTAAGCCTAAGAATTATTTTTATCTGTATAGCTTTAAAAAACAGCAATGATTCATCTTTGCCTGAAACAATGAAAAAACAGTATTTTCATCATTTGCTGAAAAACCTAAGCATTTCAGGACTTCAATACAGAAGAAAAACATAGTCCTAGCTATTACAAATAAGTTTTGGGAGCTCTTCATCTACTAAATCTTAAATTATGCACAAAATTACTAAGGAATTTTGCTTTAAAATAGGTATCAATTAAAAAAAAAAACTCAACGCTTACTTAGTTTAAAAAGTAAAAAGAAAAGAGAGATATTTCTCATGTATTAAAATTTTATATATTTTGTCTAGCTGTTTTTTGAAGAATTCTAAAGCACAGATCTACAAAAGCAAACTCTGTTATATATAGCTACTTCTTGAAGAATTACACAGCATTTTAATACAAAAATATTTATATCAAATTTAAAAGAACTCCTCTCTGGAATCCAAGTACATTTCAACAACCAGGACAGCCTATCCTTCAATTTGAATCTAGGTTTTTGGAATTCCTAAGTTCCAATTTCTAAATCCTAACTGCCCTTGGATTTGCCCCTGCCAGTGCTTTGTCTTTGGGTAAGCGGTGTAGACTTCTGCAGGATAGATAAGATCCAGTTAAGGAACACAAATATGACTGAGGTCTGATTAGGTGTCTAATGAGATCATCTCATTATAAATATTTAAACAGGTTCATTGGCTCATCTGAACGTAACAATCGAATAGATTCTCTCCTCCTCTCCCTCTAGGACCTTGGCAAGGAAGTAAGAGATTTTATAACTCAGTGGAGTTATAAAAAGTTTTTCCTCCCACTTGCTCCAAGTGCCGATGAATCCCACCTACTCAGCCAGAGGTCTATGTGGAGTTTTTTCCTCCTAGGCCTCTAATTCAGGCTAGGCTAAAATCAGGAGAAAAAGGTCACAGAGGAAAGCAGGGGAGAAAAGAAAAAAAAAAAAAGAGAGAGTTAATCATGTATTTATGGAAGGGTCCTAATCTTCTCTGATCTTCTAAATTTTTTAATCAGTTTCCCATAGCAGTAATCATGAAATGATGCTAACGTGTCCAAGCAATCTTGCAGGAGAGGACAAAACACTAATACTAACTACTAACTACAGTTATTCCTCTTGAACCGATACGGGGGAATCATAAAGGTCACAGTCCCATTCTCGGGAGACTGACAAAGAGGATTTTCTTACAAAAGTTTTCCTCTTTCTTCAGAACGCATCATTACACAGCTCGAGCCAACAGTGAAACGTCATTGCGCCATCCAACGCTGACAGCAACCTGACAGATCTCAGCTCTTCATTTACTCCTCTGCTGATGGAGCAGGAAGCTGCACACCCTGAAAAACAGCAAATGTTTCTTTGAAGAGGAGCAGCCCAGACTAAATCATATGAAGCTGTATAAAAAAAGAGCAGGAAAAAGCCCTGATAAACTAGTAACAAAAATATCCTCCTCTGACTGAGGTATCCAAATATTAACCATGGAGGAAGCCAGGAGACCATGGGTCTTTTCGCTTACTTGTTTTCTGAACCCAGGCTGACTTCTTGGCTCCAGAGCAAGCTCCACTGGCTTCCTACTTATTTCAAGACTAAATATACAAGCAGTTTACAAGCTAAATCCAGGACGTTTTGAAAGACTGCATATTCATCTTCGACCTTGGCAAAGCTACTTGCTGCAGAAAAGTTCAAACTGAAATGCCCTGAGATAAGCCAGCCTTAGTGGCTCACTTTCCAGAGGCAAAACTTCAGCCATAAACACCTTGTCACAAGCCAGCTCTCCTCTAAAGGGATGCTTAGTTGTAGGTGTTGGCTCTAGGGAAGGACCTCTCTATAGGAACATGACCCCACTGAAGTTAAATCAGAATTTCAGAGCTAGATGCTTGAAACTTATTCACAAAGATTTTTTTTGAGTTATGACATCATCCCAAAAAAGAAAATAATTGCCAACACTAAAGCACAGTAGGTGAAGATGGAAACAACACACAGAAGGAAACATTGGCACGCCAAAAACAAGGTGGAAAGTGGGAATGCTATTCTATAAGACATGCTCAGCACAATCTTTAGATATACTTTCAGTACTGTTGTGATAGAGATAAAAACACCAGGGAAAAATCTCTTGAAATAAGTGAAACGACAGGAAAGAAAACAGAGGATATGTTTTTTAAAGCAATTCAGCATTACGGAAGTTTACGTTTGGTTCCTTCAGCTATTCTGCGGTTTAAAAAGAAGTGTCAAGATCTGGTGTGAAATTTCTGCTTTAAGTGAAATAAAAATCTTTGAAAAATCACACAAAGACTCTTAAACCCACTACCCCTCACCCCTAGAAAACCCTTTGGGGTTTTAGGCAATTTGTTAAATTTATTTTTATAGTAAACGCTATAAAAAGCAGAGATGAAGACACACAGCTTATATTCAGTTACTCTGTTTCTTCCATTCCTATTCCAGTGCCTTTTATTCCTCCGAACTGCTGCCACTGATGTAAAATTATGCATTGCTTATCCACGAATAACATAGTGGATCAGACTGCAAAAACACATCAGACAGAAAATGCAGAAAAAAATCCCTCTTTTTTCTCTCCAATTCCACTAATCCTCCAGTCACTCTGAAACAAAAAAATAATTTGAAAGTTTTGGGTATCCAACTACTTGACTGAAAAAATAAAGGTTTGAATTAAGTGAGCAGCAACTAGTAAAGAGAAACTGCATTACAGACTAATGAAAGGCTAAAGTACAAAGATTAGAAAGTTTATCCTAAGAAAGTTTATACTAAAATTTGCCTCTCTAAATATATCTACTGAAATGTCAAGGTCAGCAGTAGAAAAAGAATTCAACTTCATAAAACAAAATGTCAAACAAAAAGATTTTCCCTTAAAATAGTCATACTTCTTTCTACAGATGCAAAGATACCTTTTGAAAGTAGAGTGTTTCAGAAAGCAGAAACTGAATGCAACTACTTGCAGTGCTGAAAGGCCGTTTGGCAGGATGCTGGGCCCATTCTCACCTAGTTAGTGGTTTTCTTCTAAAGCAAAAGAAAAAAAAAAATACTGTGAGCATTTTGTCCAGATCTTTCAGAGTATTAACTCTGCCTGTTAGTCTGTCAAAGTCTTTTGCGAAGTGTGTCTTTCCTGTACCTAAATCTCATACTTCATTTGCTGGAAGAAAGCTTTTTATTTATTTATTTATTAATGTGGCTGATCCCAGATTTTCAGAAAGCTCTTTGCTGAACCAGCAGCCAAATTCCAAAAACACTTTGTGTCCTGTTCCTGTAACGCATATATATGTCTAAACATAATAAAATATTAACTGGTTTACTCCATTTTTAGTTTAATATCTCTCTTCTATTTTAAATGTTGCATTAAGTTCAATATACCATATAATTAATTTTTAACTGATACTCATATAGATTCTTCAATCTTCATTTTGACCTTCAGACATGAGCCCACAACCAGCTTTAGGGAAACAGAAGTATTCCAAGGGTCTGCTTTCAAAAGAACTTTACAAAAAACTTATACCATCTAACATTGCAAATTATTGCAAAATAATGTATCAATTATATGAAATAAGTTCTTAAATATCATACTTTTTTGGACTTACAGAAAGGTTTAAGCCATAAGAATTTGAGGAACACTAACAGGTCATCGGGCTGTTCAGAATAAACTACATGTAAGCTTCACATGTTTAAGCTGCACTGCACCTGCAAGCAGGAACCTCAGAACAGACTCCTTTTAATGCCAGAAAAAACATCGTGCTAGGGAGAAGTTCTTCTTCAACATGTAATAACAAATATTAAATTGCCTTAATAATAATAAAAAAAAACAGCAAGCAAATCTACTAGTTTTGTTATGCCACCTCTAAGCAGACCTAAACTGGCCTAAATTGTTATTGGTCTGCAGCTACTTGATTCAGACAAATTCTGTGCCTTACACATCAACTGATGTATAACCTCACAGTTAGCGCTTGCCATTAAGAAACAGTCAGTTTCTATAATTCTAACCCATAATCTCATCCATAGATGTCTAAGGAAGAGTTTTCTAGCCTAACTTAGGCTGACAGCTACAAGTTACACGGTGCATATTCTACAACTTTAAGAAAAGACCTAAAAAACCTACAAGGATTACCAAATCACTTCTGGCTTTCTCTTCTACCCTGATTACTCGGAGTTAGCACAGTTTTTTACAGATACTAGAACCCTGGTCCCTGACCAGGCTCACTCCTTCAGGTGGGAAGTTTCATTTGTATGCATGCTGCATCACTGAGTGCTGTTTTTCAAGGCAGTTTGATGCAATTCCGGCACGAATCAATAGCCACAACCACTCTATCCTCTAGACTGGGCTCAAGGCACCGTGACACGGCTCTTCATGACACGGAGGATTCAACCTAGCCCCTGCAGCAGGCTCCTCGGAACTGCAACATTGTACGAACGCATGAGGAGGCCACTCCTACATTACTTTACCTTAATCTTATCACTCACTGACCTTATTTTTAAAGGTTCTCTAGCCATCCTGATAAAGGAAAAAAAAAAAAAAAAAAAGTACTTGCTCATAACTAGCACTGCCTCTTGTTTCAATTCTCTCTTTACTACAACACTTTTTCTCCCACTCAGTTTTCTTTTGAAAAAGCATTTGCTTTTTCTATTCTTTGAAGTAATTTTAGGAATAAATTGAAGTTTTTTGTTTTTGAGACGGGTACGAGTTCTCTTCCATAGACCTACTTATTTTGATATAAATTCCAAGTAAATCCTGCACAGAGATACCCATCTACAGACCTCATCCAGTTCCTGGACGGGAATAAAACCGTTTCACCAATTCACTCTGCCTCTTGACCCAGCAGTATTAGCACTTCCCTCTCCACGAGCCTCCCCCAAACACTATCAACCCTTTCTCTATTATTACATCTTTTAAGATCTTGCTTTCCA